TGGCGGTAGAGGAGAGGGCGCCGAGCAGGGACGCGGTGCCCGAGGTGGCAGGAGGGGCCGGGGCGCCACGACCTGAGGCTGGAGTGGCGGCGCTCGCAGGGCCTTCCGACCCGGGAGGGAGCGCCCCGGGGCTAGAGCGGGGTGGAGAGTGGGGGACTGCCTCCCCACGTGCAGGCTCCGCGGGCGATCACCTAGGGGCCAGGGCCGGGGCAGGGGCCGCTGGAGGCTGCGGAGCTCGTCCAAGCCTGCCGGCGGCGCTCGCCATGAGGCCAGAGTTCACTGGAACCCGCGAGGACCAGGAGCGGGAGCAGGAGCAGGAGCAGGAGCCGGAGCCCGTGGCGCCGGGAGAAAGTGAACGTGCAGCTGCTTCCACCAGCGAAGCCAAGGCCTAGCGGGCTTCGCGATCGTGGTGAGTGGAGGGCAGGTCTGTCTGCGACAGAACAGAAACACCACCTGGGCCTCCTTCCCTTGGGGCTTGTTTGTACACTTACTGGTGTCAGTGTATACACACACACACACACACACACACACACACACACACACCAATTTTGTCTGCTTAGTCCTGACACCACAGGAGAGGCTGGGGAAGAGGGAGGAGGAGACAAGGCTCACCCAAAGACCCACTTATATTTCCCTGGAGACCATGTCCCACTCTGCCGGCACAAGCTCCCTAAGGTTTCCAAACAACGAAATATCGAGAAGAATGTGACACAAGGCACAGACCACAGCAGTAAGGAGTCTTAGTATTCCAGAGTTCGTTTCCATTTCAGTATTTTAAAGGATGAAATGAAGGTTGTGATTTTGTTTGCCTTTCAAGGGACTCTATGCCTTCATTTATGCCCTTTTGTGAAGATGTATGAGTCTATATAAGCACATATGAACTAGAAATATTATTTAATGTATCACATTTAAATATGTAAGTATTGAGGAGTAGAACTAAAGAACAATTATTTTTCTTTTGCATCCTCTGGTATTTCCCCATTGACCTTGTATCCTTGGTACACAGGATTTACTACTTTGAATTATTTGCATAGTACTATTATTCTTTTTATTATTTTTCAGGATCCTTTAAAGGTGTCTTCTGGAAGATATAAGAGTGGAGAATGATTTATCCAAGCATCTTGCAAATATCAGATTTTGGGATTGTTTTTGTTTTATAAATCACCGTGCTTGTCTGAGATGATTTCCAATCTGTCGGTCATTCAGTGGGAAATAGCTCAAGTGGATCTGCAGGACCATCCAAAGAAGCACTGGTTCCTAATGGAGAACTGAGCTGGGATGTCCCATGGTCTACACCCTTAATATGTCTACATTCAAATCAAAATGAGAATTTTCAAATGTTCGACTTTTACCAAAGATCATCAGAAGGTCCAGACCCGATGTCTGGGGAACTGTTTAAATTCCCTTTTCCTTGGTAAAAACTCAAATACTAAGTCAAATATTAGTTCCAATTTCATACATGAGAGTGTTATTGAAAACCTGTATCTTGGTGCATTAATGTCTTGGCCTGTGAAAATGAACCTTCAAGGTCCTTTTCATGTGTACTCAAGAATAAAGATTGTTCCAGACCTTTAAGTCATTCCAGAGAAGGATTCCACCATAAGTGGCTCCACTTACACTTAGAAATACTCATTCTGTTATATCAGAAGAGCAATTTAAAGTAGAAATCTTATTTGAAAATGCTCTTCGTTTTATGTGTGTATTTCTGTAGTTCTGTTTAAAGAGGAAGCAGTAAAATAATGATAGCTTGAAGCATTTTATCCTCTGGGGGCCTTATTTATAGGGTCACTCAAATTTAAATCAAACTAGTAAATAATTTAGTATAGTGGGATGAGTATAATAATTACAGCAGGCAAATGTAGCACACCAGCACATACGCCTACATTCTAAACACTAGTTGATGTCATTCAATGGATTAAATTAGTGTGCTGCTCATCTTCCAGAGTTCTGTTATTTCAAACCTGTGAACTAACTTTGCAATCCACTTAAATCAACAGTCACCAGTGCTTTCTAAATTACCCCTGATATTATTTTCTAGCTGTGCATCAGCATGCCCTCTAAGAGTTCTGATTTCCTTAAAGCATCTGCATACCTCTATCCCAAAGGACACCTTTGGTTTCCTTTTCTCTCTGTGAGGAGGTGCAAGAGAATTTCCTAAAGCAATGATTCTCCAGCAAGTGTATATTAGACTTTCATGAAGCACTTTCATAAATGACTCAACCTTTGGCCCCACCCCTGAGATTCAAATTTCATTAGTTTTAGATGAGTCTACAAACATAAGGGGTTTTAGTTTGTTTAAACTCTTGACTTGATTCTGCTATGTAGCCGAAGTTAAAAACCACTGCTCTGAATCATCATAAATCCATACTGGCTACCTTATACTCTCTGTCCTTAGGGGCTAAGCATATTATTATTAAGAGTATTTTTGTTTTGTTTTGTTTCTTCCTTTTCTTTCCCTTTTTCTTTCCTTTTCCCTTTCCTCTTTCTCCTTTTTCTTTCTTTTTCTTCATTCTTCTTTCTCTTTTCTCTTTCTTTCTCCTTTCTCTTTCTCTTTCCTTCTTTCTTTCTTTCTTTCTTTCTTTCTTTCTTTCTTTCTTTCTTTCTTTCTTTCTTTCTTTCTTTCTTTCTTTCTTTCTTTCTTTCTTTCTTCTTTCTGTCTTTTTGTTTTTCTTCTTTCTTTCAATTCATGCCAGAAACATGTGCACAAGAGAGAGAGAGAGAGGTAGACAAAGAGGAATAATGCCTCTTTCCTTCCTAATAGGGCCTGGGCACATTGCAATCCCTTTTCTTCCTTTCCATCAGGATATTGGGCATGCACACATATGTCACCTGTGTGTCTTTCAAGCCACTGTAGCTGGAATTCGAATTACAGTTGGCTATGTAATATCCAGCTCCTTCCGCACAGCATTTAACTACTATGCTATGGAGCCAGCCTTAGATGTTTTTCATGTTATAAGTCATAGAGTCATTAAATGATCTGAGATACACTGAATCAGATACTTTGGACCCAACAATGGACTATTCTCTGATCAGAAGCATCAGCGTCACTTGAAACTTGTCCTGAGCCTCTTTTTATGTCTATCAAATTAGAAACTGTGGGTAGGGCTCACAGCAATTAGTATTTTCATAAGCCCTCCAGAGAATTCTGATGTATACTAAAGTCTGAACACACTGTCATGGAGTACTGATGTGCTGAGGATTAATTTCAGTTAGAAAGCGGATTGCAGACGCATTGAGGACTTTATGTGTCTCTCTCACTTTTCCTCTGTTTGTCTCCTCCTCTTGGTTTCTTTTTATTTCTTTTTCTTTACATGGTACTCACTATGAAAGTCAATTCAACCTTAACTTTATATTTATTATGATTTTATTGATGTGTGCGAGAGATCCTTCTTCTCTGCCCTTGATTAAAGGGTGAATATTACTCACTACACATCATAGGTCTCCATTGTCTGTGTTTTGCAAGTGGTTTTCGTCTACATTATATCCAATTTCACTTATTACTGACCTGAATTACTACAGAATTCTACGGTATTTATTCCCTGATTTCAACCTCAAAGCTACAGAGCATTTTGAATACACAGCACCTTACAGGAAAGACTGTAAACCTGTTAATCCCATTGAAAAATGAGTTTTGTACAATGTTCTAAATGGAAATTGCGTTGGATTATTTTTATACTTAACACATTCCCTCAAAATAATAAATTCTACAATCTGCATGTGGGTTTAACTGTGAAATTCAGTGTTGTGATATTTAGATCAATTAATTTCTTTCTCAGCAGATTCTATGTTGACAAAATTATTTATATGTTCAACTGAATTGATGTTTCCCTAGTTTCTCCATAATTAAAGGCACAAATAAATCATGTTTACTGATAACAGTATGTGAATGGTTCTTTGTAAATATGGCTAGACTTTTATATTTTTTTGTGTTCTCTTCTTAAAAATTTGAACTCCATAAAGCCAGTGAAGGGAAAATTAGCTTTATTTGGCTGTATTTTTAAATGTATGTGTTCATACTGACTACATTTGTACTCATCTTTCAAACACATGAGCTAATGTCAGTCAGGAACATTATTATCAGCATTTTATAGATAAGTAAACATAACCTCAATTTTATTTATTTATTTATTTATTTATTTATTTATTTATTTAGGAGAGAATTTTGCTATATGTGCTCGCCAAAGAGACAGAGAAACAGAAAGTGAGAAATCACCCCCTGAAGGTATGGCCACACTGAAACCTCTTGTCCTCCATTCTCCTCTTGGGATCTTGAGCACGCACATGTATGTGCCTGGCATGAGTTTTAAGTCACCAGGTCTGAGACTCGAACTGTGATTGACTGGGTCAGAGTGCAGGAAATAATCATTCTGCCATCTGCTGGTCCCAAAAAAGCTCAATTAATTTAAGTAGCTTATCTAAAATCATAGCCAACTCCAGGTCATTTGGCTGGAAACTGAGATTTTTTCTTTTTTTAAATAACATAGACTACTTCTAGAAAGAGGTATTTTAAATAGATACTAAAATACTATATGTGAAACTACTTGTTTTTGTTTACTTATAAAAAAGTCTCAATAATGTATACTCTATCAGTGAGATCAGTGAGAAGGGAGTTATATTTCTAGCCAATGTCAATCAAAGAATAAAGTAGATTATTAAAACAATTCAAGAGAAAAATAGGCAAGCAAAGGAAACACAGACCAAAATAGACTTTCTGCTTGATTATCTTGAGTTAAGCCTTTTCTATGACTTTTTAAACTCTTCTGCTATAAATCTAAAGTATAGTTTAGTTCCTTAACCTTGTAAGATCAATAATTTTGCCACAATTATTGCTCTTGAAAATGACCATCTGAGAAAAGAAAAGAAAGCCTTAAGGAAGATTCATCTAGTAAATGAAATATTTTAACAGGCTCAAGGACAGCCCAGAATAGGTTACTTCTGACCTTGTGTGATATTTCCTCCCAGATATCTATACCACCCAACTGTGTCAAAACAAAACAAAACAAAACAAAAACAGAACAAAACAAAACAAACCTGCTTTATGATGGGCAACAGCAAGAGGTAAAAAAGAATAGGAAATAAATAGAGCTGGCATTCTTTAAAAGTCACTCTTTTTTTCTTAAATTTTTTTTCTTCCTTCTAATATTATGCCCAGTGGCAGAAGAACTATGCTCTTCAAAATATCTGGAAACAAATCCTTTAAGATAAAATGCTGGATATACAAGAATCCAAAAGGTAATTCCTTTTTAAAGTATCCGACTGTTTAATACTCTGCACAACTCTTAAAATATTTTGCAATGTCATTATGTTCTCATTTTTTTATTAGAGAAAATGAGATATACAGAAGATTCCTCAGACATATAAGTTGGCACCAAATTCTACCTCATTTATCAAATGTGTCTGGTCTTTACTAAAAATATTTCCTGATAACTAAAAGTTTTACTAGCAATTGTTTAGCAATTTGGTACTAATTTGACACAAAGAACCTCAAATTGGTGTCCATGTATCCCTGGGGGAAAATAAGGCTTTTTATGGGATTCATTGGCAAAGGCTAGTTTTGTGATGCCCAACTTTCATATTTACTTTGTCTTTTCTTTCTTTTTTTTCCTGAAGAATTATTTATTTGATTTCATTTATTGTTATTACTTTTTAATTTACTATAGGGCATATGTACTCACCAGAGAGAGAAAAAGGTAGAAAGCAAGCCACCAGGTCTGGGACTCTAACCACAGTTGGTCATGTAGGAGTCCAGTGCCTTAACTACCATGTCACCTGCTGGCCCTAAATATTCACTTTGTCTTAAAGTGGAGTTAAGAGCTAGACTGTAGTCAAGTTTGCCAACCCTCTACATTCTTTCTTTGACAGTAGAGACCAACTCTTCACTCACATCCCAATTTCACTGGAATGCAATGGCCCCTAGGTCAACACAAATGAAACAAAGGAACAATTTGTCAGGGCTGAGAAAAGGAATTACTTTAATGCCTGGTCAACAAATACTTCTATAAGTTAGGTAGTTTTCACTATTTTGCTTTCAACAAAAGTGAGAATCTAATTAAATTGTTAGTTGATAAGCTCTTAAGATATTTTTGGTATTTTATCAGTCTGTGAGTTTTGGTAAATCATTTAGGAGTTTAGGAAGAGTACTGCTGGATAATATAACAAAACTACTTCCATTCTCATCCACTTAGTTATGTGACATGCATAAACATATATTTTTACATCTATAAACATAAAACAGAAAATGAGAAAGAACTCATGTTGAACACTTTCATTCTAGCAGTAAATAATGTTCATTCACAGATACACAAACTAATTAAAATAGAAATCACCATCTCGAGATACATTTCTATTTTAACTTTTTATGTGTAATATTTACCAAAATTTATGCTATATGTATGTTGTTTTGCACAGCTGTGTATTACTAATAATTGCAATATTGCAATAATAGCCCAGTCTAGAAGAACTTTAAGACATATAGCCTTCTGGTCATAAGGAATTTTTAAAAATTTTAATTTAATAATTTCATAGCAGAAAAGTATGACAAGGTCATCAATAAGAGACTTTCAGCTATAAAAATGTACTGTAGTGGCATAAAAATCTGTGGGCAAAGTGAATGAGAGAAATGTAAGTTTAAGAAAAAACTGTGATTTCTTTTTTTTTTGGAGAGATTTTTGCCATAGGCCACATGCGCTCGCCAGACAGACAGAAAGAGACAGAGAGACAGAAAGTGAGAAATCACCCCCCAGGGGGGATGGCCACGCCACAATCCCTTCTCCTCTTGGGATCTTGGGTACGCACGCACATGCGCCCAGCATGAGTTTTAAGCCATCGGGTCTGGGACGCGAACTGTGGTCGACTACATGGGAGTCCAGCGACATAGCCATTATGCTAACAGCTGGTCCCTGATTTCTCTTTTCTTAAAAATTGTTTTCTTGGGACCAGCAGTTAGCGTAATGACTATGTCGCTGGACTCCCACGTAGTTGAGCACGGTTGGCGTCCCAGATCCATTGACTTAAAACTCACGCCGGGCGCGTGTGCGTGCGTGCCCAAGATCCCAAGAGGAGAATGGAGGAGAAGGGATTGCAGCGTGGCCATCCCCCCCGGGGGGGGGGGATTTCTCACTTTCTGTCTCTCTGTCTCTCTCTGTCTTTCTGGCGAGCGCACACGTCCTATAGCAAAAACCTCTCCCCCCCAAAAAAAAATGTTTTCTTTATTCATGATAGGGTGTGTGAGTATACATCTGAAAAAGAGAGGAGCACTTTCTATCGTCTGGTCTATTTTTGATCCCCTAATTCTAGTTCTCCAGCCCTGAGTATATTGGGCATTCGCATCAATGCCCTGTGTGTTTCCTGGCTGGGCGCTAGAAGTGCATGTGGGATCCAGCTTCTCTTGAGCAACACATTGCCACCACACCAAAAATCCAGCCCAACTGTGAGCATTTCTAATGCTATAGAAGAGCTTAGACAAAAA